ATGAATCATGCATGTCAACAGTATTTGCATGAGTAGTTGCATGATAGTTTGTCTCAAGAAGACATTAGATGATTACAATATGATTTTTAAATTCGTATAGAAGAATATTTAGTCATTAGTAAAAAAACATAAAATAACTCATAAGAATATATATTATGAAATATATACAAAAATAGTAATATATATGAATATTTGCATGTGTGATAAAAATTCACTCTTATAGTACTAGTTGGTAATGTCAATACACCCGAACCCAAATATATTTTTCATACTGTCTCAGACAATAGTGGAATTAAAATAAAACTCTGTTTTCCCAGCCAAAGATGAGTGTCTATCCACTTCAAACAATAATAAACTAGTTCTACACCCTGCCATACTAATAGGGTGGGTATCAACTTAGAGCACGCGAAATTATATTTAGACAATGTTCATGTGATAAATGTATTTATATAAAAAAAGATAAGAAACATGAATATGAAATGTTATGTTTCTTGAAAATATAAATGAAAAAAAAATGTGTTTACAACATCATACTGTGTTGTCATTTATAAATTTAGTACATGATATGATTCATTACATAACTTAAATTACTAGCCAGCATAAATGATGCTCTTATTTCTTAAGTATTATGATTTAGAATTATACTTATTCTAATGGGTTCATTTTAAAAACTTAGTATATTGCATTTTTTTGAATAATTTAGATAAAAATGAGTACAACAACAACAATAACAAAGCCTTAATCCAATTACGTAGGGTCGGCTGCATGAATCATTTTTCTCCATTGTGTCTTATTTTGTCATATTTTCATTTAGTTCTAGTAAATTAAGATCATTTTTTTTATAATAAGCCCAAGTTGAATCTAAAACATCTAATCTCCTAATCGGATCATCAGATGGTCGACGTTTAATGTGACCAAAGCATCTAAGACGACTTTCTCTAAAAATGATTGAAAGAAGAAAAATGTATATCGTGGACGAAACAACCATAGAGCAAGACCTGTTATATTACCATTGACTTTGATTTTGAATATTTATAGCTCTTTCATTGCGGCTAGATTTAATGATAGCAAATAAGTTTATTTTTACAATCCAACTGGGTATTTCGCCTTCAAAATTTCAAGCTCCTAGGTCAATTTGTGAAAATCTTTTCAAATTTAAGGAGACAATTGTATGATTATTTTATAGCCAAATGTGGTCTTACCAAACTTAGAACTAAGTGCCAAAAAAAGCATTAGGACAGACCCTTTAATCACTCAACTCAATTATCTAACTAAGGTTGAATACGAGCCGTCGAGTGAACACCTGTCAATCTACAACACTCAACTCGCATGTTAAACTCAATTTGTTAAACTCGACAACCCAACCAACTCCATGGTCTTTGAGATCAATTTAATAAAAAGGAACACAATCCACTCCTAAGGAATGTTAGAAGCAAGTTGTCAAAGATGTGACCCTACGAATGCATGAGAAATAGATGATGAAATATGAAACTGTCAGATAATAACACGATAGAGATAATATTAACTGTGTCAATGCTGGAAGAAGAAAAAAAGAGATAAGTCAGAGAACTTAAGAGATCTATATGTACTAATCACATGCTTATATTATAAAAAAGAAACCGCTATAACTAGAGAGGGATCTTTGTAATAAGAGATAGTCAATTCATTCTTGAGCACTATGTCTCTACTTTATTCCTTGTTGCATACACTTTTCTCCCTCTCTTCAGCTCACTCCTTATGTAACTCACTACTTCTTTATTCCTTTTTTGAGGTGTGAGTCCATGGACAAATCATGATTCAACATTATTTTAAAATATTGTGAGCATAGATCAGGTCACAACCAAGAAGAGGAGTTACACAGCAAGCAAAACCTAGCAACGGAGAGGTTACCAGCAATAAGAACTATAACAGAGTTTGACACAACAAATCAGCAAATCAACCTTCATGGGCACTATGTAACCAATATACAGGATGGCAGTCATCTCTCATCTCATTTTGGAATAAGGGAGACCGAGATGAAGTAAATATTATGAGGGAATAACAAGAAAAAATAAGGGTTTGAGAATGGCTAACGAAGTTCAAACATAACTATAAACACCCCTTTTATAAATATGAAAGTAATTATTACGAGGGAACAACAAGAAAAAAAAAGGCAACAAATTTAAAAAATGGCATCACAACTATCAGAGTAATTAAAGTCATCAAATTTTCATCTAACTGAGACGTCAAAACAAATTTTGTTAGTTATAAAAAAAAATTATTTTATTATTACAACTAGACATATGCAACTATTCCCTCAAAACATAAAGAAATTATATTAAACACACAAACACACCTTATTACAACAACAAAAAGAAAAATTCAAAACACAAGCCCAAGGCAATCTTCGCAAAAACCTGGCTAGACAGTAGAAGCCACTTTAGCATAAACTATCAGCACGAACTATCCACCGTACTTGAACTGAAGAAGACAAATGGATTTGCACTGTGCACTTATAGCTCAGATCGACGAACTTATGTTTCAGTTCACCTGAAGATTTCTTTAAGCCGGCAACTTCACACCTTAGTTCAGCCAACTGTTGTTTAAGTTTGATTGTTTCAACGACGACAAGAAGATGAAGAACAATCTCTATAAAAGGACCACCAAACTTCCCAACTGAATATTTTTTTTCCTCCAGGTGAACTAATGCCACATTTAGGTTCAACTCGCCCACATTTCCAACACGAATATTTTGGAGTGCCCATGGGGCTGCGGCGAACCTGAAACCAGAGACTATATTATTACTAATTGTGTTTTTTTTTTTTTCGTGCAGGATTAAGGAGATGATGGCGAACTGCGACATTAATGTCCCAACATTTAGAAATTTCAGCGAAGTCATAAACAAGTTGAGCACAACACCAATGAGCGGAATTCCACAGGCCAAATGCCATTGCTACATTATCCATCACTCTTGGAGGGCTTGCAACGCTAAGATTCACTATCGTGCACATGGTACACTGACTATTATTGCAACAACCATTCTCAAGGCACTTAAAATGACACGACTTTTTCCATTTCGAGAGCAATGGGATGCTAGCCGACCCACCGGATCGGTTTCCTCTACCCTTTTCTGGCATTCTCCCCCTCTCAGATGGCTCAGAGCGAACATTGATGGTGCACTCCTTTCCAAAGAGGCCGACACAAGATTTATTGTTCGGGACTAGAGAGGAGTTCGACTCATTGCTACTAGACACATTTTTGAGCATTGGGATAGTCGCCCAAGTTGAACTTCAGGCCGTCATATCCTTTCAAAACATTTGCCAACCATGGATGGTCGAATGCAAGAGCATCATCATTAAAGGAGATAACACTAATATCATACATTTTTTGAGGACTACTATGAAACGGAATATTTCGTGCAAACGACCACAGGAGACACCGGATTTTACTTTTCTTTTGTCTTTTAAACAAGTTCTTTTTTTCCATACATCTAAATATTGTAATAGGGCCGCTCATTTTTGTGTCAAGCGCGCCTTAGTGAGTCATTTGTTTTGATGCATGTAGATGACGATAAGGATCTCCCTACCATACTTGTAGAAGACAGTTCTTTTTTTTTTTTACACTAGATGCATACATGCATAACTTTTGTACTTTTTTGATATATTAAGGCAAATGCAAATTTTCACAAAATATTATTCATTTGAATCAGTTAAGCGAGCGAGACACAAGCGGATATAGACGTAAAAAATGCTAGCAAATGGAGTTGCGAATCAACTGGCATTATATCACCCCATTTATAAGGAACAAAGAACTCAAACTTCAAATTGTTCACACGTCAGCAATGCAATTAAATAATATTTGCATATTTATAAATTGCCTTCAAATTTGTTATTATTTCAATTCTCTTATTCTTTCTGCAACTCCGTCTTCCAAGAGATAAGAGATGAACTAAAAATGTATAGTCAAATGCAATATTACCAAACCCAGGACCAAGACCCGGACGATGTACTAAGTTAGACCCCATATCCCTAAGCTCAACAATCCAACTAAGGCCAAGTACGAGCCAACAAGTCAGCATCACCCATCCATCTATCACACTCAACTAACCCATTCGAAGAGCCAAACCAAGTAGCTCCATCGTCAGTGGGATCAGTTTAATCCAATAGGACACAATTCAATCTCAAGAACAAAATTGTTTAAGCAACAAACTAACTTAGAAGCCTAGCCGACTGACAAAGATATGACCCTACTAACGCATGAGGTAAGGATGACGAAGCGACGCTATCCGAGAATAATGCGTCAAAGATAATATTAACTATGTCAAGATCAGAAGAAAAAAAAAGAAGATAAGTCGGAGATTCCCAAAAATATGTATAACATATATAAAAAATCCTCTATAAATAGGAAATCTATATAGCAAAGGACGATTAAAAAATTATGGACACTATATCTCTACATTTTTCCCTAACGAATACACTAATACCCCTCTCTTTGACTCGCTCTTTCTCTCCTTCATAGTTCTTTCCTTATGGTGTGAGTAAATGGACAGATCAGGATTCAACAATTACATAACTGTAAAGTCATAAGAAGTTGTAGAAAGACCTATCTTACATCCTATTCCAACTAACCATCTAGTGAGAATAACAAAAACATAACATTGCAAATGGTGGTTTTACAAGTTCCATGTAATAATGAGCAGCCTTAATGTCAATATGTGCTTTATCAATGATTCAATCATATGACTATTTTACCAAAAAGAAAATCATGGCACTATCAATGACTGAATCATGCAGCTATTTGAACAAAAAGTAGAAGCAACTACACTGTTTTTCCTTTTATTTAATTATATATTTTTTAAAGATGGCTACATTTTTTTTTTTTGGACAGATGTATAACTAAGTTGGAATTTATTTTCACATTATCAAAACTAGTTGTTTGATTATAAATTGAAATAAGAATAAATTTGATCATTAGTAGGACAGTACAGATACAAGGAAATAAACTGCAGGACTAAAAATTACCTTCTTTATAAGTTGAACATCATAAGATCTTCCATATTTATTCCTTATAAGTCTTGCAAGATCTACTCCACTAAATGTGGCTTCATCTTTTCCAACAATCCTTTCCAAGTCCTCACGTGATAAACCACCTGATATATCCTGACTATTATTCAGGGCATTTTCCTCATTGTCTGTGCTTTCATCATCTGAGCTGTTGCCTTCTGCATTATCAGGAGCTACACGAACAGAAACCAGCTGTTCTAGTGGATTTCTTCCATGCAACTTGATGGACAGTTGGGTTTGAGCAGACAATGCTCCCCTAGATCGAAATGCTAAACCTGAATATCCCAAACCCAGCCCCTTAGTCAGTCTGGTTTTTGAGAAATTGTCTTGACCACGAAGTAATAAATTTTGAGGATTGTGTAATAGAACACTCATCATGCCCTGAAATCAAATTCCTTTATCACTCTCCTATAGAAAAAAAAGAATTCAATCTGCAAATATGCTTAAAGATTGTTCAACAAAATTCAAGAGTAGAAGATCAAAAAGCTTAGGAATATCATGGAATGCTGACATTGTATTCACTAATGTGACAATAAATTGAGTAATGCTATACACTGCAAGAAAATATAATGAGCTTTTCTTGATTCCCATTTTACATGTTCAAAACTTATAAGGCTAAATAAAAAAGATTGGAACCTTATAATCAATTTTGAGAGAAAGAAAAAGAAGATCTTATCTTATGTCTGGATTTAGTTTGGAAGTGCAGCACTACTCTAATAAGATATGATACTAAGCAAAAAAAAAATCATGAAAGATAATCCATAAAAATAACTACAAGAATAAATGTTTCAAAGATATTATTCATAA